ATACACTTCAATGAATAAATCGTTAAATGAAGATAATAAAAATAAAATACCACAATGAATCGAGAAAAAGAAAATCGCAAAATATAGATAAAAAACTAGGTACTTCGAATACCAAATGGCTCGTAAGATATTTAAAACCAAACTATTTCCCTACCCTCAACAGACAATTTTCAGCAACAGAGACTCAATTTATTAATTCCCCCTAATAGTTGCAGAAAAAGTTGTTGCCAACTTTTCTAGGCAATTACACGTTGGGCGTCAATGTGTTACCTTCTTTTTAGATTTCTTCGATGTAAATTGTACTTAATAGGTGATTTAGTTCAAATGAAATCAGAGTAGCTTGACCAATTCGCGGGCCAAGGTCTACTTTACGATAAAATAAAAGATATTACAATATGATAACGATAAAAAAAAAGTTGAGCCCCACCAAGTTTTTGAGTAACTTGGAAAACTTATCTGATTTGATATGTCCTGTTTAATTGAGTCAGTCTCTGGTACTTAAAGTTATCTGTATGGGTTCTGGCAAATAAAAGAAAGTAAGAAAATTTAATACATTTAATAAAAAAAGTAAAAGATTGAAGTTTTACATATACAAATTAAATAGTTAGTGATTAACTCTGAATAGCAAATAAAATTGACTGATATAGGAATGAATAAATGAATTAATTAAATGTACTGTTAGGTACTTCGATAAATATTAATTGTGACCATGTGGCATTCTAGTACGGTACTTCCCTTTTGTATGTCCGCCTTTAGGTACTTTGATATTTGGGGCTTCTTATTTCTTAGAGCTGGGAGCAACTACCTAACTCGGTACTTCTCTTAGAGCTTCCTGGAGCAACTAGGAACTTCGTGGAGGAGCCTGGAGCTTCTTAAAGCTTATTGGAGGATCTTAAGCTTCGTAGAGGATCTTAAGCTTCATAGAGTAGCCCCTTCTTGGAGGATCTTAAGCTTCGTAGAGTAGCCTCTTCTTGGAGGATCTTAAGCTTCGTAAAGTAGCCTTTTCTTGGAGCCACTCACAATTATCCCAACGTTTGTAATGAAGTCAATTTTTCCCCAATCAGTTTATATTAATTTTTTATTTTTAATAAATATTAAACGCGATTGAAATATTGGTACTGAGCTAAGACAGATGCGTATCGCCGATCGACATATCGATGCGCGGTAGTACTGCCGTTGGTGGAGTCTCTGGTAGTGGGAGGGTTCTCGACGACTGAACAAGGTCCAAAATTGAATTAAAATTTTTAGTTTCTAATACACTGATTTATCGAATAGTTCCTAATAGACTTGCTTTTACAACGTTGTATTGAATAGACGAATAATTAAATTATTCCGATATGATTCCGACAATCAAAACCGAAATTCATTTCTAGCCGCGTTCTTGATGATAGGTAAATTGTTGTCATTGTTTTTATAAATTGATTTTTTTTTCGCTCGAGATTTTAAGCCGTGCTATTGGAAACCGATTTATTTTGATTTATTTTTAATTAACAATATTCCGTGTTGAGTTGAAGAATTGAAATTTGTTTTGATTAAGAAATACTTAAATTTATTCTTGTTAGAAAACACCTTTCTTTTAAAATTTCATTTTAGTTTATTTAAGGTTTTAACTGTTAAATAATTTATTTTTCATTCGATCGTAAACATAGTCGTATAGTTAGTTTTTCCTACTACTGAAAATTTCCGTAGACAAATCATAAATTTCATTTTAGTTTATTTAAGGTTTTAACTGTAAAATAATTTACTTTTCATTAGATCGTAAATATAGTCGTATAGTTAATTTTTCCTACTACTGTAAATTTCCGTGGACAGATCGTAAATTTCATTTTAGTTTATTATAAGCTTTGACCAATAAATAATTAAACGGAACTGTTTAGGAATTGTACAATGTTTTGATTGGTTATCTTAGAATTGCGACGAGACATTTTCTTTTGTTTTATCCTCCGAACCGCAAATTTTAAGAGAATTTAAAAAGCATCATTCCCCTGTCTGAAACGGCGCGTGATTGTGATCACTTAATTCAGGTTATTAGTTTATTTTACATCTGAAACATTTATTTGCGTAAGTCTCCGTTATTTTAAGAGAACTGAAATAGTATCATTCCTCTGTCTAAAGCGGCTCGTGATTACGATCACTTCATTCCGAGATAATGTGCTATCCCGGTTATTAGTTTATTTTACTTTCCAACCACTAGTTTAAGTAAATTTCTTATAAAGTCCCGGTTTCAGCCCTGGAATTAGTACTGTCCCGAACCTGTCTCCTCGCATTCTCTGCAACCGCATATGAAATTTTGCTTTGCCGAAGCATTCAATTACATTTGATTGTAAATACCGATTAGACAATTTAAAAGTTAATTTTTGCTACGACCGAATTAATACTTCCGAACGAAATAGCAAGTTACATTTTTACCCCAATAACCGAATAGACAGTTCAATAACAAACTTTTGCTGCAACCGTGATTACTACAATTATTGATTTCATTTTTTTTACGTCTTATTGAGGCTATTTGGAAGTCTATTCCGGCCGTCTTGTTTGTTTATTTTTGTTCAAGGTTTGTACATATTACCGTGAGGGTGGGCGTTGAAATACATTAATTTGTTTCTTTTTTTTTGTTGTAAATAGTTTAAAACAATATATGTGTCAATGTTAACTTGCCGTATTACTGGTTAATATTTCCTTACTTTATTTCCCCCTTGTATTTCAGCTAGTGATAAATTCTGTACCAGCCCAAGCAACGATTAAAGCCCGTTATTTGTGTCCTATTATTACCTGAGTCTAAGTGACCTTTGACCCCTGGAATTTTCTCCATCTGTAGCTACCCGAATACTTTAGACGCCGTTTCGAGAGTTTGTGGAGTAATCCATAACCATCATCATTCTCTTATACTCGCTTTATTACGCCTTTTTTCTAGAATAAAAGAGTCCCACTAAGCCCAATATCACGTAACTACCAGAGAAAGTTTTGATAAATAGGTCGACGGTTTTCCTCTTTCCATTGTCGCATCTGCTTTTAAACGGATTCGTTTTCTTGTTTTTCTCTAATTTTTTAGGGGCTCACTGTTCGTTGACTGCTGTTGTTCTTCGCATTGCAACTTCTTTAGCAGACGAGCCCAACCTCTTTCCAATCAGATTTCCTCGACCAACATCTTTATTGTGAGTTTCTTTTTCTACAGTTTCTTGCTGCCGGTTACTATAAGGGTTTAACATGGGTACGGTTTTTCGATTCGTAATGATCCTAGGGCGTTTGGGCGAATTGCTTACATTTCCCATCTCACCAAAATCACAGCACCCGATAGTCGAATTAATTTTCCTGCTCTTTCTCTTTTACAGTCTTTTCTTTACTGTGTTTACCAGAAATTAGCGTAGCCGCTTCAAATTTAAGAGCAGTGGATAAGACATCGACCACTGTTTGTGACGGACTAAACAGAGTTTTCTTTGAATTTCATGATCACGAAGTCCATGGCATCTTCCCGTCGAAAGTTGAGGCTTTAACCCAGGCAGAATTTACTTCCTTCCAATTTCTACTTTGACTCCACCCCACGGAACTTTATCTCACCCGCCGAGAACTGTTCTCTATGTCTGTTTTATTTTCTCCTCAATATACTTTATTTATTTTAAAACATTTTTTTTACACCAAGAACTAATTAATGTATTTTAAAACTTAGTACGGAAAAATAATTCACTTATATAAAAAATTATAACTGTCTAGAAAAAACCAATCATGACTAGAAGAATATCGATGCATTTATAGAATCATTCCTTTACGCATGTGGCGTACAAAGAAAAATTTTATTCGTTTCTCGATCGCCAGCATCAGACGTAACGGCAACGGTGTAGATCAACAAAGAACACAGCCGGACTTATTGCACGGAAATAGGTAGATTTTTATTTTTTTCTGTACAAAATTTAAGTAAAAGATAAACTTAAGGAAAAAATAAATAAAGTACTTGGCTTAAAGTATAACAAATGTAACAAACTGTCAAAAAAAAAAAACAAAAAATAAAAATTACATTTAAATCGTTCTCCATGGATCAGTTGGCTATCGTCAATTCGGTGAATACAATCATTTCTAAAAATTTTTATATCGTTAGTTGTTATGTATGACTCGGTCCTTTATTTTACGGATATCATCCGGCTTTCGAATGGAGTGAGATCTGGTCATCGGGCGAATCATTCTTTTGTTCCCCTTTTTTAAATCCACCTATTTGGTAAGTTTCTATTTAATGCACATAGCTACAATACAATGTAACATTACCCCATACTCTAACGTGCATATTTGACATCTCAAATACTAGATTTTATATTTAACCTACCTCCTAATAAGAACATAGTTTGGTTATTATAGGAACCCAGTTGTCGCCCTTGAATTTGTATATTATTTTAGAAATTCTTATAAGCTATCCATCCCCTATCTACCGCCTGAGCGACGTCGAAGGCCCAAAGGTTAACACCGGAACAACCACAACTTATGTAACCAAGTAGATACAATTTTATTGGTAGAGTTTAATTTCAGGCAATTTTCCTCTTGAAGTTGCTAAGTGCATTAGATAGTTTACGATACTATTAAAATTATTGGATACTTTATTATCAAGAAAAAGATCGGTCAAATTAGGAACTCAATTATTTTTTAGGAAATCCAGATACAATGCTTCTATTAAACTTTGTTGAAAAAAATAAAGCAATAATTATATTCCTCACAATACCAGTAAGGGTCTTTGTTAATGGTAATTACTGGATTTAGTATTGATTTTTATCAGGTCTATTTAAATAAAACTTTGAAATAGGTTTACGATCTGGCTGCATTTCGTAAAACAATCTGCATATTTTTTTGTTGTGCCGCATCTTGCCGCCAACACCAATCATCTTATCTAATTGCTAATTTTCAGTTAAAGGTATATTCGAACAATTTCCTTAAAAATGTTTGTTTAGCTATTAATTTATGAATTACATTTTTTTATTATTATTAACCAATAATTTTCTAAAATAATAATTATTGTTTAGACTGGTGCTCTAGAAGGACAATACAAAATTTTGAACAACATATCTGTCTCACTCAGCGAACAACAACTCATAGACTGTTCTACCGTATATGATAATGAAGGTTGCAGTGGAGGTTTAATAAAACTTGCTTTCAAATATCTCAGAGATAACGGACTTCAAGCAGAAGCTGATTACCCCTATATAGGACAGGATGGTCAATGCCAATATGTTGAAAGCAAGCTAGTTGTGCCAATGCTTTTTACTACCGTTCTAATTGAAGAATTAAATGAAAATGCACTTGTCCATGGAATTGGTAAGTTCATATACATAAGCATTAAAATAACTTAATACTCAGTGGCGGCTCGTGGGCACTAACGACAGTGGGGCACACACTGGAAAGGAATCCCGGGATTCGTTTTTCCCTTAGGTAAACAAGTTATCCGCTTAATGAAAATTAAATATATTTCAAAGCAATCAGTTGGGACAATAACGATTTCTGAATGTGACTACAGGGAGCTAAATTTGACCACTCAAAATGAATTTAACTATGTATGTGGCTATTTAATCAAAAAATCATTACATATCCACTCTTGCGAAATTTTCGTAAATTTCTCAGAAGAATGCAATTTACTTAACAATTCTAACTTGTTAACGAATTTTAAAGTATACGACTCTGAAGAAAAGGTGTTTGGCAATTTAAAATCTCCCAGCGAAAAATTTCTTTTATATTTTCAAATTAGAAAAAATATTTATATCTCTATTTGATAGTTTTTCAACTAAGCCTGGAATTTCCAACGCATACCTTTTTGAGAATAGAGAATAGAATTTGGTCATCCTTGCCAACAATTTGCGAAAATGTACACCGTTAAATTATTTATAAGACTCAGAATTTTTTATACTCTTAAATATGCAAACAAATTGTTGAAAAATAGAACAATTTCATTCTAAAAAACCCTTATTTGCCTCGCTTGTATGGCCTTCCTAAAATACATAAATTAGAGATTCCAATGAGACCTGTAGTTACGTTCTTCAACTCTCCTGTATCTTCCTTTGCAAAATTTTTCAATAACTTCCTTAACATTTCTCTTAATTACAAACCCAAATATACTGTATTAAATTCAATTGATCTTGTTAACAAAATTAACAACATAAATTTAAGTTCTGAAGCTAAGTTACTTTCTTTTGATGTTAGCAATTTATTCACTAATATTCTCAGAAAGGAAACCTTTCCTATTATTAAGGACCTTTTTACTAAAAATAACTTTAATCTTCATTCGATCAATATTATCCTGGATTTACTCAAAGTCTGTCTTGACCAAGATTTCTTTATTTTTAATAAAACATTTTACAGACAACCTAATGGCTTAGCAATGGGCAATCCTCTAAGTCCTTTGTTAGCAGACTTATTTTTAGATCACCTAGAAATCAATAAAATTCTGAATGATTCCCCTAACAATTGAATCTTACACTGGTACAGACATGTTGATGACATTTTTGCTATTATGAATTGCAACTTCACTAAGATTGATGACTTCTTAATTTTCATCAACAATATCCATCCTAAAATCAAATTCACAGTCAAACTTGAAGTCAACAAATCACTTAATTTCCTAGACCTTTCTATTAGTCGTCTGGATAATAAGCTTGATTTTGATATCTACAGGAAACCCACTCAAACTGATCATCTAATTAATTTTCATTCTAATCACTCTAATCAACACAAGTTATTAGCCATATACTGTTATGTTCACCGTCTCCTCAATATACCTTTATCCAATCATAATTTTAATAAAGAAATCAACGTTTTAAAACAATTAGCTTTTAATAACAACTACAATCCTTCTATTATTGACGTGGTTATTAATAAGGTCAAACTAAAGAAAAGGTCCCTACTTGCTTTTAATCCTACTAACGATTCTCCTGCAAATTTTAAATACTTTTCACTACCTTATCTCGGGAAAATTTCCAATGATATCGCTGCAGTTTTTAAGGACTGCAACAATAATAAAATTTCTTTTAAAAATGTTAATTCGATTAAAAGCCAAATGTCACATACTAAGGATAAAATCGAGTTGCTACACAAAAGCGATATTTATAGATTAAACTGTAACGATTGCAATACTGATTATATAGGGAAAACCGAGAGAAAACTCAACATACGAGCGGGTGAATACATTAGTCTACTTTTGGACATCATATTAAATTCAATAATTACAATTTCACTCCTGAGAATGTCACTGTTCTTCATAATATTTTTAATTGCAACTTTAAATTAAATCTGCTCGAAGATCTTGAGTTACACCGCGAGTTTAATAACACTAATGTCACATGTGTTAACACTCAAATCCATCTCAATAGCAAAGTGCCTCCTCTCTTTAAGAGTATTGGCAACGGTTGGTCTGAAGTTACCTAGTTAGTTGCTCCATGAATCTTCTTAGAGCGGAGTTGATCTTGTCTTCTCCGGTGATATCTGATTTCATGGCCAGGACGGTTTTTCCTCCTCTTATAGCTGCATAAGTTGGTCTGCCTGCGACTTCGGTTTCGTTGGGGTCGGCATGCTCAATTCTGTTGTTTTTAGTCAGGCACCTTTTAATTCCAATAATTTTATATAAAAAATGTGTTTTTACCTTTATTCACTGTATATTTTATAATTCTATTTAATCATTGTAATGTTTGGTTGTTTAAAATTTAAAATTCCTCCATAACTTGTGCTTGCTAGTTCAGTGGTACCAACCCACTTTTATCTTTGTCAATATTAACTTTTGATCATTTCTCATGAAATTCATTTCTATTTTTCAAGTTGGCAATTGTCTTGACAACTTCATTGTCAACTGTCAATTGTTACTCAGTTCCACATACTTTGATTTTCTTTTACTATACGGAGAATGGTCGCACTGCGTAGCTTTCTGAGTGCCTTTTAAAAGGTGATAGAAAACGCCGCCATTTTGAACTCTTATTACGTGTTGCCTACATCTTAGCGCAATATTTTTAATAGGTGCGTTTTAATCATCCGCTTCTGCTTCGGAATTGTCGGTTTTCTTGTTTTAATCTGACAGGTTAAAACGACTAAACCGACAATTCCGGAAGCAGAAGCGGATGATTAAAACGCACCTGATATTTTGCTTGCTGCTGTCAGTGTCAGTGAATATTATTTTTGAAGTCACAGTTTATTGCTAAAGAATCAGTTAGCTCACTCGGACCAGTTGAAAGTTTCAAAATAACATCCACTCCAGGGATACAAATTCAGGATACGCAGAAGACTGCTGTTTTATTGTAGGCGGTTGTCATATATTGTATTATCCGAGTTGCGCAGTGTATAAACTGGAACATTGAGATCAAAAGTGCCGACGCAGAGTGAGCGATCCGATTCTTTAGCTGTAAACTGTGTCACAGGATTCAAAATGGCCGCGCCCTATGTTGGGCGTGTCGGACCTCTCTCTTGCCTCGTATAGTAATCAAAGTATGTGCTCAGTTCTTTTTGGCACTGTCAAGATGGTTACTTTTTCCAAAATTCCGCTAACGTTTTACGACTTTTTATGCCCCAACTTGCCTCCCCCTCTCGGCAGCGACTTGGAAGGGTCATGCTGAAGTACAGTTTTTTCTCTTTCTCTACCTTTGAATGGGTGAGATTGTTTATTTCTACGTGTTGGGATGAGCCCTCACGTTTTTTCTTAAATTGCAACCACCTTTTAGGAGTGGTTCTGTTATTTCTTACGACTCAAGCCTCAAGTTATGGTGGAGAACAGGGACCGTATTGTGACAGCCCTTTTTAATCTAGTTATTTATTAATTTTCATGCTTCTTCTACATTTATTGACGAGTAAGTTTTCAAGATGTTTTATTTTTATTCAATGTTCAGGAATATCACGATTTGATTATATTGTTATAGCTCTGTTTTTTCTCTCTCTGTAGTGTCTCCGATGATGGCCTAACAGGCTGAAAGCGCTCAGACTAATATTACTGAGTTTTATTAATAAAACTCTATATACACACTTTAAATACTTTCGATTCATTTCTTATAATTTAATGCTATTTTAGAGAGTACCACTTATTATTTCATTTATTAAGATTTGGGACATAACATTACATGGGTGCGGCACCGAAAACGAAACAGATCGAATATCTTGAAGACACATTTTTTTTGAAGAAAATGCAAAAAGAGGTCGATTTTTGTTTTAAAGGGTAAATCTTTCGATCATATCCTCAACTATCCTACATTCCTCCCCACCCCTCTGGCATAATTACCAATTAAATTAAAATAGGGAAAGTACTAACTGTGACACATCATTGAAAAGGTAATTTTATAAGGAATTTGACTATGTGACAGTTCAAATAAGCGTTTTGTCATGTGAAATCCAAATTTAAAAATTTAATGCATAATTACCTTTGGAATAAAATTGAACTAACTACGCCTATGTTTTCGTAAAATAAAAATAAAAGTTTTTATTTCCATAACTATCAGGTCTGTTTTTTAGTTTAGCGTCATTGAGACTTCAAGTGTATTAGCGAGTAAAGCATAAAAATGGTTTATTCTATTCAGGAGAGAGTAGAAATTGTTGAATGTTATTTAAAAAATAATGAATGTGCTAACACTGCCTGTACAATTTTCAATAAGCGACACCCAAACAAACAGGTTAAACGTAAGTACGTTTTGGAACTTATTTCAAAATTTCGACACACAGGATCTGTTCAAAATAAAAAATGGCAGATTCAAAATCCAGTAAGAAACGAAGCCGTAGAGGTAACCGTTTTAGGACAAGTTGTTCTGCAGATCCAACTCTTAGTACAAGAAAGCTTGCAGAATTATCTGGAGTAAGTGACTGTACCGTCAGGAGAATTTTGAAAGCCAAAAAATTCCATCCCTATAAAATTCATTTAGTTCAGGAACTTAACGAAGACGATTTTGATCGCCGCTTGCAATTTTGTGAAATCATGAGCGAGCCATGCTATAAAAGATCCACATTTTCTTTATAATATTTGTTTTTCAGATGAATGCAGTTTTTATGTTAACGGGACTGTCAATCGACATAATTGTCGATACTGGTCAGATTCCAATCCAAGAGTATTTCATGAGACGCATACTCAACACCCAGAAAAGTTAAACGTTTGGACTGTAATATTTGGCGATCGTATTGTTGGTCCATTATTTTTACCAGGTACTTTAACTGGGGATATGTATTTGGAATTACTCGAGAACACTGTTGATCCACTGTTAACAGACATAATAGAAAACGATAACCGATAACTTGAAGATCATCTAATATTTCAACAGGACGGGGCTCCTCCACATTTTGCTGCAGCGGTTCGTCAGTACTTAAATGAAAACTTTCCTAGACATTGGATTGGACGAAGAGGATTTATTGAATGGCCCCCACGATCTCCTGATCTATCCCCCTTAGATTACTTTTTATGGGGATATCTGAAAAGTAAAATATACGCCCTCAGCCAGGTTCCTTAGAAGAGTTACGTGAACGTATTATTACCGAATATCGTAAAATAACTCCAGTAATGCTCCAAAACGTCAGACAAAGATTTGAGAATAATTTATATTCGTGTATGGAAGTTAATGGACAACACTTTGAACATTTAATTTGAAGTAATTTAGTTTTTAATTATGGGAGTTGTCCTAAATTTTTCAATTTAATTTTTATGTTAATTTTTCTATTATTTTTTTATTTTTATTATGAATTGTCTATTAAATGAGTTTTACTTTCAAGTGAAGTATCATTGTTTAAAATACGGAAACTTTTCCCGCAAGATGGCGCCAAAATCAAAAGTTACGTAATAAACTGTCACATCCTTATAAAATTACCTTTTCAATGATGTGTCACAGTTAGTACTTTCAATTTCATTGGTAATTGTGACAGAGGGGTGGGGAGGGATGTAGGATAGTTGAGGATATGATCGAAAGATGTACCTTTTAAAATTAAAATCGACCTCTTTTTGCATTTTCTCCAAAAAAAAAAATGTGTCTTCAAGATATGCGATCTGTTTCGTTTTCGGTGCCGCACCCTGTAAGTCCATACAAATGAAATTTTAAAATATAGATTGATTCGTTAAACATGTTTCCAAAGTAGATAATGTCCGACATATACAAAGATACAAGACATGTTCGTGATAACTGCGCACGATTGTGAAATATAAATCTAAACGGACATTTAAAAACAACAAGTATTATACGAACCGGCATGCGTAAAGGGCCCCACTCACCTCGTTCTTCTTCGCCGTTTTTAACCGACGGTTAAAAATGATGGAAGGAAGAACGTTGACTGATATGTCCACACACAACAGTTTTTTTCGCGCCAGTTTATTACGATGGACCGTACGTGCTTGTTAGCAGTGGCAGCGGTTTTGGCAGTGGAAAAACATCGCGAAAAAAGAAAATCTCGAAGAAAATGGACTAAAGACTGGCTACTTAAACGCAGTACACTGTCACATACAAATTTATTGGAGGAGCTAAGATTGGAGCTTGGCGATTGGCACAATTACTTGAGGATGGACGAGGATACGTATCGGAAACTGATAAAACTAGTAACACCGTTAATTGAGAGACATAATACCCATTTACGTGAATGCATCAGTCCTCACTAACGCCTAACAGCTACTCTGATTTAACTGTTCCATCAGCATCCACTTTTTTTGTATTTCATCAGTAATGCTGTTTTTCTTGATTCGGTCATGGTATTCCGCCGATTTAACTTTCCACATGCAAGGAAATGATCTATAAAGCTCGATAAACTCTAATAAAAAGTCTGTTCCACTGCTTAATATCCGATATTTTTATTATAACCAGTTGTAAATAATACTAAACAACAAAAACATGCTGAACGTCACTGCCACTGATAAGTGCCCGACCAGTCAAACTGTTGAGAACATACTCGTGTTTACTGGAACGGTTGGCACGATAACCGACAAAAATCAAGCGTCGCCTGAAATTTTGGAACGACGTGCATAAACGACGTCCATACACCTCGTTTTTGTGACATTTTTACCGTCGGTTAAAAACGGCGGAGAAGAACGAGGTGAGTGGGGCCCTTAAATTTTTTCAAGGTCGACTTTGTAATAATTTTTTTATTAATCACTCCATATTATGTTTAAAAAGCTTTTTAATGTTGTTATATTATTCTACTTTTAGCTTCTCTCGGACCAGTGTCGTTATTTATCAATGCAGAAGGAATCCAAAATTATGCAGGAGGTGTATACGACGACTCTGAAAAGTGTGATAATTCCAAAGATAGTTTAAACCATGGCGTATTGGCAGTGGGCTACAATATTACTGGCAATTACTTTATTATCAAAAATTCTTGGGGTGAAAGCTGGGGTGAAAATGGTTACATAAGAATGGTAAAAGGAGTTAACATTTGTGGAATTAGTTTGGTTGGCTCTGTTCCAATAATTGTTTAGGAGTCAATTTTTTTTTATAGAAATATAAATATTTTTATTTATGCATTAGTTATTCATATATCTTTATTAGTCTTCAATTTATTGAATGTGAGTTTAAAAACTCGTTTATTCTTTTAATATCTGGAATAATTAAAATTTAATTGATACAATTGGGAAGGGCAAGTATCATTAAAGATTAGGTTTTGAATGAGTTTGTTTTGAAAAAGACTACAATAATTACCCAGGTACAAGTTTTGTATACTTATCTCAGTAATACGTAATAAATATGAGTTACCTATATATGCAAATAGGTATTAATTATATTAGAGTAGCGTCAATAAAAATTTTGCAGATTACTAAAATTATCAACTAAACAATTTATTGGTTTAAACATGGATGTAAATTGAATAAATAATTTGCTAGGTATCAGATTTCTCATGGACTTTATGAGTTTAGAAGAACCACAAATGAAAAACACATCCAACTCTGATAACTTGGGATGTCCTGACAAATGTTTGAAAGGCAGGGCTTCATCATCATCATCATCATCATCATCATCATCATCTGAATTAGGGGGTGGTTCAAAGCCCACTTGTACTGAAGCTTTAGGCTTATTGTGCCCCTCACAGTTTCTATCCCATCAGATTGATTTTCTTGATGAATTCAAGAATATGTCTGATGGGCGCTTTCGCGATTTCTTCAGGTTCCGGATATTGTACCCCGAAGTACCATTCCCGTTCCCATTTAAGGTTCCGGCAGTGGCATAGTATGTGAATAGGAGTTTCGTCCTCCTCTTCACATATTCTGCATAGGGAGTCATTAGATATCCCTAAGAGATTTAGGTGTCTTCTAAGGCCGCAGTGCCCCATAAGGAGTCCTATTGCGGCCTTAAGTTCGCTTCTGCTAAGGTTTAGCAGTTGATGTTGTCTGCTCGTGGATGGCTTATAATTTAGTCAAAGATCTATTCCGCAGTTCAGATAATGTAGATCTAATTATTGACACACTAAAATTAAAGTTCGGCAGATATGACTGGATAATAATAAACCAAATTAAGGTAGCAAAAAAAGTCCTGCTCCTTGAGAAGATTCTATTAAATAAAGTTTTTATTATCCAACAGAGAATCTCCATTTACAAGATATTATAAATTAGAATACATACATTTTGTTAGTATAATACAGTTACACTTTAAAGATATGTATATACATAATCAATACCATACAGTAAGCAAACACTATTTAACATGTTACAAAAAAAATATATGTATATAATGGGAAAAATACAAGAAGAAATCATGAACATTATTCCGTTAAGATTACATTATATTACAGCAACAACTAGAATATCAGAAAATTATACAAAAAATCAAAGTTAAAGAGGTATTGTAAAAGTAAATTTAAATAAAAATATTGACTGTATTTATCTAAAATTAATGATAGTGAATCATAGTTAATATCGCATAAGTTTGCCACATGATTAAAGTTGTTGCACATTCTATGAAGTAGGGAGTTAAAAAGAATATTAGTTCTCGCATTGTCTGAGTAAAACGTAGTAATACTTCTAGAGTTGATTCTAGGAAGGTGAAAATCCACTTGATAAATAAGATTTGAGGAATGGATAGAATTTTGTACTAATTTATAGAGAAACGTCAGCCCTACATGTATTCTTCTTAGTTGTAAGAAATTGACATTGAAACAATGTACCAAAATAGATTGGTCAATACCTCTTGCAGGATAAATTCCATCAAGCCTACTAGATTAGAATTTAAGAATTTTGCGTTGAACTTTTTCCAATGAATGTATATGCACTTGATAATGCGGATCCCAAACAATATTGATCTTATGAGCGCAAAACATATCGTTTTTAGAGCAATTTAGAGCACTTTAGAACACTGAGAAACTATACAGTGCTTTTCAGATAAAAGTATCAACCTTAAGTAACTTTTGAAGAACTGATTATTACAAAAAACAAAAAAATACGTCAATTAATATTCGAAGGGGGAGATATCGTGCCATATTTAAGTTTGCTAAAAAAGTCACCCTTTCACCCCTACTATCATCCCTTCAATTTTTTTAAATGGCTTGCCCCATTTTTTTATCCATTTTTGGATTGCTCTCGTTTAACTGATTTCAAAAATGTATAAAACATGGGGATTAAAGTAATTAGTTTACGATCTACAGAATTTTAAATTAAAATAAAATTGAATTGTGCAAAACTTTTATTTTAATGATTTTGTCACAAGCGTTTCCAATGACAAAACGAATATTTCATTTTCAAAATTTATTATAAAAATTGTTCAAAATGTCCACCATTTACTTCCATACAATGGTATAACCTAGATTGAAAAGCCTCCCTGACATTACCGAACACGTGTGCATTTAAATGTAGGCATTCATACTCTATTCTTTGTCGATTCTGGTTGGGTAGCATAAATTTTTATTTTTAAATAACCCCATAAAAAGATGTCTAGAGGTGATAAATCCGGTGATCTAGGTGGCCACTCCATCATCGAGCCTCTTCTACCTATCCAACGATTGGGGAAGTTTCATTTAAAAATTGTCGTACTGGCAAAGCAAAATGTGGAGGTGCTCCATCCTGTTGAAAGACAAGCAAATCTTCAGAAAGATTATGATCATTTTCTATTATTGTTGTAATACGTGGATCAATTACTTCTCTCAATAACTCAAGATATGACTCTCCATTTAAGTTTCCGTCTAAAAAGAAAGGTCCGACTATGTGGTCACCTAGGATACCACACCATACATTTAACTTTTGAGGATTCTGTGTGTGGTATTCACACACAACATGTGGATCACTCTCAGCCCAATATCTACAATTATGTCTATTAACTAACCCATTAACTGAAAATGTGCATTCATCCGAAAAACAAAGGTTGTGCAACAAATGTGGATTGTCAGTCAAGCGCTGACTCAATAGTTCACAAAATTCAAGACGACGATCAAAATCATCTTCATACAACTCTTGAACCAATTTAATTTTGTATGGATGGTACTTATGCTTGTGTAATATTCGATAAACTGTGGAAGATGAAACATCTACTTCTCTGCTTATTGTTGTTAGTGACTGTGCTTGTTGATTTTCAAGACTTACTTGTCCTAAAACTGCGACTTCAATTGCTTCGTTATTTACGAGTTCCAGTCGGTTATGTTTTTTATTGCCAACTGACCCGGTTGATGTAAATTTATGCATAAGATCAATTACATACTTATGAGTTGCATGACCTCCTTGGTGTGTTTCGTTGAAAATTCTAGCAGCAGCTCGTGCAGAACTGTTATTTTTGTAGTATAAACCTACAAGTTCAATTCTTTCTTGTAAACTGTAAAGCATTTTCAAATCAAATAAATAACCTCAACAAATCAATGTGCACATGTATCAAAATACACTATAAAAGTAATTTAAATTAATTTTTCAAATCTCCAATACCTTTACCATGTATCATAAAAAACTTCAACAAGTTTTTAGCGGTACGATTAAGGTATAATGGGGTCTATTCTGTAACAATTCCTTTATATTTAACGGCCTTTAAAAATATTGGCGGCCTATAAAAATATGTTCGTATTCGTTAATTTACTTCTATCATTATTTAAACAGATTTCTTTAAGATAGTCCTCTAATGTATTTTAAAGATCCGTTTAAATAGTGACCGAATTAAAGAAGAAAATATTTTTAAAGGCCGTTAAATATAAAGAAATTTTTACAGAATAGACCCCATTGGGGTCTATTCTACATTAGAGGACTATCTTAAAGAAATCTGTTTAAATAATGACAGAAGTAAATTAACGAATACGAACATATTTTTATAGGCCGTCAATATTTTTAAAGGCCGTTAAATATAAAGGAATTTTTACAGAATAGACCCCAATGTATTCTAAATCCAATTTTGCTGCAGTCAGTAAGGTGAGATGTAAAAATTTGTCACTTAAATAATGGAACCCTGTAGATCATAAACTAATTATTTTAAATCCCATGTTTTATACATTTTTGAAATCAATTAAACGAGAACAATCCAAAAATGGATAAAAAAATGGGGGAAGCCATTTAAAAAAATTAAAGGGATGATAGTAGGGGTGAAAGGGTGACTTTTTCAGCAAACTTAAATATGGCACGATATCTCCCCCTTCGAATATTAATTGACGTATTTTTTTGTTTTTTGTAATAATCAGTCCTTCAAAAGTTACTTAAGGTGGATACTTTTATCTGAAAAGCACTGTATTATTAATATGTTTTACACATTGCAAAACTAGAATCAAATGTGACTTCAAGATCTCGCATCTGCGTAACCCTTGATAAAGATATGTTATTTATTTGATAATCATGCAAAACCAGATGGAGTTTGCGACCATATGTACAAATTTTACATTTATTTAAATTTAGGAAGAGATTGTTACTTGTACACCAATGAGAAAGTTTATTTAATTCTTCTTGTAAAAATAAACAGTGTAGTTGAGAAGCCACATTTGAGTAAATTTTCAAATCATCAGCAAATAATAAATGTTTATACTCTAATGATGTGGAGAGATCATTGATAAATAATAAAAACAACAAGTGTCCCAAATCAGACCCATGAGGAACACCTGATGTAAGGCAATATATTCTAGAATACTAACCGTTGCAAGCAATAAATTGTCCTCTGTTATGTAGATATGATTTTAATAATGTACAACAACCAAAATTATTTAATTTATGAATTGATATTTTGTGGTCAATCCTGTCAAAAGCCTTGGAGAAATCAGTGTATATTACATCAATCTGTTGTTTATTGTCCACAGCTTTAACTATATACTGAGTAATATCTACAATATTTAAAGTGGTAGATCTTTGTTGCATGAAACCGTGGTGATTGGTTGAAATAAGACAATTTATTCGAACATAAATTGTCTCCAAAACCTTGGCAAAATTATTTAAAATGGATATGGGACGATATTTTTTGATATTCGTAATATCACCATTTTTGAACATAGAACATACTCTAGCAACTTCCCACACAACAGGAAATATAGACTTTTGGACTTCAGGCTGTCGTTTTAGCTGCATGATTTAGAAAATTAGTTAATACTGAAACTAGGTATAAAATATTGGACACATACTTTTATACTGACTCAGAAATTGTTTTAAATTATTCTCTCAATGCATCACCTAAAAACCTTTAAGGCTAACAGGGTACAAGGAATATTAGAACTAACAGATGCATGAAACTGGAATTGGATTTCGTCTAAAAATAATCTGGCGGCAAATCTGCGACAAGAGAGAGACGACGAGATAGAACGTCACAATGAAATATATTGTTGTAGGGTCCACCGTTTTTGAAAAATAAAGAAATTATGTAGAAATTCATACAAAATTTTTTGTATGAATTTTTTTGTAAATATAGTAGTCACCGTCGAAAATAACATTTCTCTGAAGAACTGCT